AAAACAAAACTTACACACAAGAATTAAAGGACATTGGAGCAAGTACAGCTACACAAATATTGGGTTCACTTGATCCCTATCGAACTCCTGGCCACTTGTTCTTCTGACCTTAAGTATCGGGCTACTTCTCATTCTTCAAGCTTTAATTTCAGGACTCTAATTTCTTCAAGTAAATTGGCTGGCCTTGTAGACAATTTTAAATGGTAATATGGTGCCTGTAAAGATTCCTGGTATAATAATGGTGGTACTATAAAGCAATATGTCAAGGTTGTCTTAACTTGAGGACATTAACAGGTAAATATTTAGCAGATTGACCTATTATTTATCTGGTAATCTGTTATAGTGTTAACTGTTACTTTCTGCAAGTAGGTATAGCCCCAGTACTGCAATCCTTGACGGAGACATACCTTATGCATTCTTACAGATAGATTGTCGATGTATGATGCTTGCCATTCATAAAAGTTGAAGTTCATCAAAAAGTTTTCTTTCATATTGTCTTTCAATTGTTGGGGAATTGTACTATCTTGCAGAGTCCCAATCACTGCCGTCACCAAGGTTTCAATTTCGACATACAAGTCGTAATCTGTTATTATAGTAGCATTTTCCTAGTATAGAATGATGAAACTGTTAAAAATGGCTAATACAAATTAATATTCTATGGAATCAATGATTTTTGTCCAACCTCACTGTTCCTATCAAAGCCTGGCTCGTTGAGCAGCGCATTCTTAGTCATTATGCTCTGAATTGATATAAGAACACTCTCCAATGAGCAAGATGGAAGCCACTGTTGCCCAGACCAAGTCCTGCAAAAAAGGTGTAATATTAGTTGAGAAAAGTACCTTGTAAAAATAATAATAAAGCAACAAAAAGAATTATACATGCAACTTTTTCAATTCAACACTACATACTAAACACTTACCCCAAAATACTGAGGCAGACCTTGCCCCCTTCGTACATGTTGGGATTAAACCTCACTTTCCCATATCCGGTAGTCAGGAATCGCACCTTTGGTGGTGTCATGGGATACTGATTGGTGCACTTTAAAACGAAGTGGAAAAACCCACCAGCGTACGGTGTGCCTTCCACACCGGTGACAATGGCGTGGAGAAGCGTACAGTCATCATCCTCAACCGCAACAGAAATTCCGAGAGGCGGATCATTTATTAAAGAGCTTATATCCCTGTGGAGTAAAGGGCAAGTATCATTCAAGATTTCTAGGCGTATGTAGGTTAGTGCAATTCCATTATTGCATGTAACCTAACCAAACTGACTGTTACCTTCTAATCCTCTTCAGGCAGTCCGCGCTGTACGGAGCATCCACACACTTGAAAGGATCCCAATCAGACATATTTGTCAGTGTTTCGAATCTTCAAATAACTTTGAACGAAATAACAAACACCGGCGAAAGCCAGTTAGTACATAGTACAGTGTTCTGCAGGAACGTGCCCCTGGAGCAAACTGCTACGCTTAGCAAACGAACGCCGCTCGCGTCCGCCACCAGAGCGCGCGTCGGTCGATCTGGCGACGATTCGGCGGCCGTAGAGTCCTAGATACAGTCGTCGCAGCATTACTTCTGTCTTCGGGTTTTGGTCACGTGATACCCGAATCGCTTCGGATTGGCTACGAAGCTATTCGGCTGTCACGTGACCAAAACCCGAAGACTGAAGTAATGCTGCGCCGACTGTAGTTGAGAGAGACCCGCGACCGGACGTGGGCAGCAAATCCGCCATTTTGTTTTCAAAGATTGCAACGAGAAAAAATTAAAAACTATTTGTTTAAGGACTAAGAAGTACTGTTGCTCCAGAAATAAAAGTGTTTACAGTAGTGAAACATATAATTTGAGTATCACAGACAGTAATGGAAGATAACTATAATTTGGTCGTGCAGATGATGAGCATAGTTAAGATGCTATGTTGGCACTCTTCGAGAGGCACGGCTGTTGTTTTTTTTATTTGGCAGCTGCGGTGGTGTGTGCCCTTGTTGAAGCTAGACAAAATCGTATTTGTTTTATCATTGACATTGTTATTTTTAGAACTAAAAGTAGCAAATTTTAAGTGTCCTTCGTTCTAAAGGTCGGCTGCCCTACTCCCTGCTCTTGAGCTTGAAAGGTTTGAGAGGGAAAACTCTTACCTTCTGCCTTGAATTTTATGTAAGTGATTCATTACTTTGTTCGTGTTCGTGTTATGAAATCTTGTACTGCGTATCTGTAACTCTTTTCTCACCTTTCATTTAGGCTTGCTTGTTTCTATGGCTGGAGTACCCATTGAGGCCTTTCCTGGGCGTAGTAAAAATTCTGCCATATTCCACGGATCCGATGGTTTCCACTACAACATCCGGGAAATAAGGGGTATTCGTGTCCGCCTACGTTGCCGTCAACACAAAAAAAATGGTCTTGGATGTCCTGGGATAGCCAATGCTTCCTTAGTGACAGGACTATTGGTCCACTCCACACCCCATAACCATGAACCAGATATACTTCTTGAAGAAGATTTTGCGATTAGGCGCGCCATTATCGAAGAAGCAGAAGGCAATGTCTTCGGAAAGAAATGCAAGACATTACTTAACGATTGGAAGCTAAAGTAAGTTTCATTTATGTACTTCAGTAAGTGCTTACTTATATTTGTGATCTCAACTCCGATGGCCCACAGCTCTTTAGTAAGTGCCTTACAAAGCACTTGAATTCCACACCATCATTTTTTGTTTCAGGATTCACAATGCTGAACTTGCATGCCGGTTCACAGATGTCCGAATGCGGTCCTCTATCTACAGTGCTATGAGGAACAACTACCCTCCAATCCCATCATCACTTCTCCATTTGGGTATCCTTTTAGCCACTCCAGGAATGAGACCAATATGTAAAACTATGGATGGGAATGACCTTGTTTTCCATGGAATGGTGGGAACCCCTCATGACGGTACTCTGGCACTAATATTTGCATCTGGACGTATGCTCCAGTTCCTACAGGAAATGCACACACTCTTCTCAGATGGAACGTTTAGGAAACGCTCTAAGAAGCCTAAAATGTCTCAAATTTTCAATATAGTCACAAAGTATGGAGATAATGTGAGTTGCTTTGTGGCTATGGATCAATGGTTGTCATTATTTTGGATGTCATATATTTTTTTTTCTAATCCTAATGGATTTATGGCATTTGCAGATTATTTGCTTATTGAGAGTATTAATGTCATCACGCTCTACGGAGGCCTACAGAACTGTCTTGCAGCATTTGAAAGTTATTGCTCCTAACATGAACCAGACACTGAAATGGGTTCACTCTGACTTCGAGTTAGCTGAAATGCATGCATGGCAATTGGAGTTCCCTTTAGCTGTTGTTCTTGGATGTCTCTGGCACTTTGCTGTGGTCAGTTCAATGACATTTTATGTGAGAAAACCTTCTGGCGAATATTCAATATCAATCTGTGCATTGTGTTTTCTTGTAGGCCTTTTCTGAAACAGCATACGAGATGGGTTTGGCTCCCCTAGTTAAGCAAGACAAGAAAGCATTCAAAATAATGCTAGCAGTCTGTGCTGTGCCAATGCTCCCAAGTGACAGAATTTGGGATGGGATGACCGAACTCTGGTATGAAACCGTACAAGCTGGATTAGATGATGCATTTCGTCCCCTTTTTGCTCATTTCGAGAATTATTGGTTGCCTCGGAGTCATGAGTTGTCAGTGTATGATATGCCAGACAGAACAAATAACTGTGCTGAGTCTGACAACAGAACGCTGGCAAATGTTCTGCCACAGAACCGACCAAACATTTGGCATTTAATCAGTAAGTTTTCCTTGCATATTTGTACTAACATAACAAAATTTATTTGAACCTTGACCTAATTGGCTTGTATTTTGTCAGGTGGTTTCCAGAAACTGGAATACCTTGCATGGCTAGATAAACTAGCCATTGGTGGGCTACTTCAGATCAAAGGGAAGAGGAAGTGGAAAACAGTCTGGAATGACAAGACAGTGAAGACAGCCACACAGCTTTTAAAAGCAAACCAGATTTCACTGAAGCGATTCCTTTTCAGAACATCATATGCTATTGTCGCAGCTGTCAGGAAGGGCCTTCATCTCTCAAAGGAAGTTGACTTCGAATCATCTGATGAAAGTGATGACTCAGATGTCTGATTAAGCAATATTGTGTGCGAGCCAGCTTACCCTATGCTGTACTTTTGTCAGCTACTTTTGTACATAGGTGGATGCTGCCTTTGATGTTCTTAATTTTATTTATGAGTTCTAATGTCTTTTATTTCAGTGGCAGATCTTTTGGCTAGCTTACCCTATAACCTATGTTGCAAATTAGAAAACATTGTTTGATGTTAAAAAATGACAATAATAGGGTCTTTGTGTGCACCCGTCCAGTTGCACTGCTTGTGACTCATGCGTTTTTAGGTTGGCCTCAATATGAAAAGATTGATTTTATGTATTGTTTCATTCATCTGTACAGTTATGATCTTTTCGATGGCATGAAGAGTCAAAATTAAATCAGAAAACAAGGTGAATCAAACAAAATGTCTAAATTATAATGTCAAACTGAAATTTTAATTATTCCATGAATGAAGACTACTAAGGTGTGATATTATCAGTTACTGATCAGATCCATATCAAATTCCTAATTGTTCTAGGACAAATGGTATTTTTATGATGCTAATTAAATTAATTAAAATGGTTCTATTAAAGTTTTTAAAGACCACTTTGTGGGAACTTGATAGACATGACTGGTTCATACTATTTTGTAGCATTTAGTCTTGTTTAAAGACAATACAATAAATTAGACTGAGGAATGTGTGTTCCACAAAAAGTTAAATGCGCTACAGAATTTTAAAACTTGAGACTTGAATGCTGATGATTTACTTAAAGCCAGAGCTGAGCTTAAACATACATGTAACAATGTTTCGCTATGACCTCTTTTTCTTTTATTGTAAATCGTTATAGTAATGACAGCTTCCATGCTTTACTTGAGTGGAAACCTTGCGTAAAAACAATAAGTTCATTTTCTGAATTTTACCAATTTTGTGCACTATTCGATTATTTTGTGACTAAGGTCAAGTACTGTTTTAATGTGGCTTTTACATTTTGCTTGTGAAAGCTTACATAAATAAAACTTTTTTCTCAAAACATGATGTTAAGATTCTATTTCATTTATTTTGCTCTTAAACACTCTATGAAATTCAAACATTAAGAGGTCAACATTTTCAACTATTCAGTGAAAAGAACAAAATACAGCATGTTACATTGTCCATTTGGCAGCCACCATTACGGACAGTTTCATTCAACAAATTGCACGTTCAACTGCCCCGCATCTGCGGGTGCTCTCAGGTGGTGGTGGGCGGGTGG